TGGTTTCGGATGCCGAAGCTGCCAGAAGAAGTACATCATCACCCCATATGATCACCCAGTAGTGTGGCAATTTAAAACTTTCAGGTTCTTACGTTCACAGTAGAGGAGATTTGGCTGCCGACTAAAATTGCAGTCTTGCGCTGCAGAGGAGGTTGAAGTCGTTGTACAATCTACTACCTACGTGTCCCAGAGCTTCATCGATAGCAAGGCTACACACGATTCGCCTCTTCCAGCCGTTCCGAGGGAATTGCGGCGAAACGAAACGTGATCCTGCCCAGCACCGTCCAGTGCTGGTCCGCCACCCGACCGTGTAATTGTGCTCCGGGCTGCCGTGCTTACTGTGGCTGCGACTAGTGTTCAAACCTGAAAACACCGTGCTCCCGCCACGCTCCCGTGCACAGTTTTGGGCTTCGACTCATGTTGCCCACTCAGCACGGTGTGTCAATCATGCTCGCACTACAGCCTGGTGGTTGTTTGGACCTAAACACCGAAATGATTGAACATATGCTGAAACTACCCTGCTTGCCTCGGCGGGCTAGCACATAGCTTTGAACAGAGCCCATGCAGACCGTAGACCCTGCAGAGACGCATGCAACCCCTAAACCCCAAACCTCGACACATGCCTCGCCTGGATTATCCGAGTGTGAGCGCCGAAACTTCGATTGAAGTTGTGAGCGCGGAAACCCCACAATGCGGGCACTGTCAACCCCAATGTAGGGGGGTTCCTTGATATTATCATAGTATAATGGGCCCAAAGACCCTATTCTAACTATGAAGGCCCCTACATTAATTGAGCCCGGAGGCTTGCCGAAGGCGACACTGAGGCTTTGGCCAACCTAAGCGGCATGACGACTGCGAAGAAGGAGACCTCGATGGCTTCGGTTGAAGGGTTCAATGAATACACGGGCTTAGGGTTTAGGGTATAGGTGCTTGATTCAATACAATTCAGGGTCCAAGAGGCCCCGACGGCACTTCTAGAACAATGCTCGTGCTATCCGATCTCACGAAGTCATACACCCCCCACAAACCCAAATCCGATGCGCCTCAGGACCTAATTGCTGAAGAAAGCCCGCGAATGATGCTGCATTGCTTTGCCTCGTTAATGCAAGGAGCTGAAGAAGTTCACTGGCGCGTTGAAGGGCATGCCTCACAACAAGGCTTCACGCGAGCAACGTGCGGGCTCGCTGTCAGTGTACAGCTGAGGTGAATTAGGAGATTTTGCTGTCTTCGTCAATACCTACGACAGCATGTAGCATTCACGTTTCATTGTATATGCACTTTGTTTGTCGCACGTTTGTAAGGTATAAGCCGCTATGATTCGCGAACTACTGCACGTGGTATACCATGTACTGTTTGATATAGTCAATACAGAGGCGTAGAGGTACCTGCCCATAGTTTCGCGTCTTAAACGCGCATCGTAGCTCAGTCACCCTGTTGTTTCGAAGACGGACTGCGTAAGAGCATTTCTGAGCAGAAGCAGAGCAGTCAGGAGTGTAACTGGCGCTGCACCATCGTGTGCATCACAATATCTTAATGGACTACGACTCCGAATACATAATCAGACAAGGCAAGGTAGATGGAACTTGTGAATCTAGTAGGCTCGATTCGTGTCCAAGTTCAGTGATACGGGTCGAGGGACATCCGTGCTCGTGAGACTGGTGGGAGTTGTTTTTTTTTTCACCTTCCATAAAGTCCATGCAAGAACCAGCGCCAATTAATAGCCCGAATTCTGGCAGGAAGCATTCGATGTAGCTTGCATGCTGCCGGAAGTGTGAATGACAAAAAAACGTCTAATCCCACTTAGCAAAAAAGTTTAGAGAATTACGGTGTGGGCTGTGCGCACCGTCTACCTCAACATCTTGGCAGCCATTCAACATTCCATTCCCTTGTGGCGGCAGGGCTTCCCCAAGATCGATCAGATCTATGCCATCGGCACACAGATCAAGATGCGGGCCGCTTCGGCTTTGAATTTCAGGACAGTCTAGGGCTTAGGGATGTTTGGGTTTGGAGTTCAGGGTTCCCTTATAGGTTTGCTAATCTAGACATAGATCTCTGTCACTTTACATGGTCTTAGACACGCATAAACATCAGGCATGTGTAGCCGAGCTGCACATGCTGTCCCCCTTTCAATTCCTCAAATGGGTCTTGGCCTCAAGTCTCATCTAGGGGGCCCTGGAAAATTGTTAGAATACAAGCCGAAGAAACCCAAATCCTAGACCCGTAAGATCACTGAACCCTAAACCCTACCAGAACCCTAAACCCTAAACCCTAAACCCTGCCAGGGTTAAGGAGGCAATGGCATTTCTAGGAAAACGATTTTTTTTAAAGCTGTTGACTCAGAAGGGCCCTGGGAAGTCTCGACTTCCCCGGGTCCCTTGGAAGAAATCGCGCATGAAGCCGAGGATTCGGGTGTTGGGGTTTAGGGTTGAGGGTTTAGGGTTGAGGGTTCAGGGTTTAGGGTTTAGGGGGTTTTAGGGCGAAGCCATGCGAAGCCCTAGACCCCCAAAGCGTCCGAGAGTGAGTGCTGAAACCCCATAAACCGAGGTGCCACGGGTTTAATAGAGGAAAGGCTGTTGCCTCAGAAAGGCTCTGGGAAGTCTCGACTTCCCCGGGTCCCTTGAAGAAATCGCCCATGAAGCCGAGGATTCGGGTGTTGGGGGTTTTAGGGCGAAGCCCTAAACCCCCAACACCGAGGTGCAACAGGGTTTAATAGAGGGGCCTGAATAATTACCTATACTGTTTTGGAGGTTCCTTATTAATTATATTATAAAAGCGCCCCCAAACCCTCTTCTTATTATTAAGGCCCTTATATTAGGAGTTTAGGGCATGGAGCAGGGTTCGGAGTTGACATGTTCGCAGCTCTGACCACTTAGATTCATTGTTGAACTAGTTCCGACCTTGATTCTAGAACTAGGCCCCAAAACCAGTGAACTCGAAACCTTTGTGGAACCCTTGTAGTACCCGATAGTACATGTATAGTATCCCCTTTTAAGGTCAAGGCTCAAACCCTGAACCTATCCTGAACCCCAGAAGCACCAACCGAGGACCCCCAACCCCAAACCCGCGCGAGTCGAAACCGAGAAACGAACCTCAAGGCGGGTGGCAAAAATCAAAAACACACACCGAGGAGCCCTAAACAAGATATTCCACCTTTAGCCCCAGACCCTAAACGTTCGATCCGCCGCCCCCCACCCCCCCTCCCCCCCCCAAAAAAAAATAAATAAAATAAAATCAGAACCCTAAACCCCAAACCTGGGTCTTTGCTGGATACAATTTTACAGTTTTGTTATAATCAATACCAATAAGGGTTAACAGTGATCATTTTTAATATAGCCCCAACAAGGAACCCCAAACCCGGAAGCAACCCTAAACCCTGAACCCTAAACCCTAGCCCTAAACCTTAAACCCTAAACCGGAAACCCTAAATCCTAAACCCCCAAGCCCTGGAGCCCTCGGAGGCCTTCATCTTTTACGGTCCGGGCGACCTCGCCGAAGATCTCCGCTTCGGGCCGCTTGGGCAGACCAAGATCATGTGATGTCTAGGGCTTAGGGGTTTAGGGGATTAGGGTTTAGGGTTTAGGGGCTTTGGGTTTAGGGTCTAGAGTTTAGGGTTTAGGGTCTAGAGTTTAGGGTTTAGGGTTTAGGGTCTAGGGTCTAGGGCTTAGGCGCATCTAGGGGTCCAAGTAATCACCTAGCTCTACTATTTTTGTGGGGGGGGGGGGGCTCCTTGTAATATACCACCAAAACCCTATTCTAATTGCTCATGCCCCTATACCAGGGGCCTTAATCGTTGGAATAGGGGTTTGAAGCGTAGGGTGTGGGGTTTGGGGGCTAGGGAATAGGGTCTCAAGCTTTGGCGTTGAGGAGGTGGAAGGATTGAAGTTCCAGGCCAAAGAACTGGATGCGAAAGTTCAAGGTTTACAGCAGAATCCTCAATGCTCACAAACTCTGCGCGATTGAACTCGGAAGCTTACATGATTTCAGCGGGAAGATAGAAGCCAGGTTGCTTGGACTGCCGAAGTGGATGGAAGTTGGCATCTATGAGTGGCCAGGACCCGGGAGAGAGGGAGACGATTTGGTCTAGAGCGCGAGCTTTCGGGGGCCGGAATCGAAAGCTAAGCCCTAAACGCCTAACGGCAGAGAAAGGAGGGGCATGGGGAGGTCTACGAGCTTGGCAGGGGATTGAGGAAAATTGCCTTGCATTGGCAATCAGACTAATTACTACTGGTTATATATGACACTATCTTTTTACATGGTAGTAATAGCTATGCTAATATGCAGAGGCGCCGGGTGGCAGCACATCTTGGCTGCTAGTTGTGGCCTAGGTCAACAATGACATGAATGGAATCAACCTCCGCATGCACATCTGCCACTACTGCTGTGGGAAGGACACGGCACTCGTGACGACGAGCCCTTTGCAGAGAACTTCGAGGCCTTCAGCTGGCACGGAAAGCTTGCACGCACGCACACACGCACGCGCACGCACACGCACACGCACGCACGCACGCACGCACGCACGCACTCACTCACACAGATAGTTCTCTAATTGCTGTCCCTTTGTATGTCTCCAAGTTAGTACGGCAGCCGTATAATAAGGACCCCACTGTATCCTGCCTCATAAAGGTAATTTGTACAAGAAAGGAGATGTGCAGAGCTAAACATGGCATGGAACCCGTTGTCTCGCAGATTTCGGTCTCGCAGCTTTTCAGCTTTTGGGGCCATGCAACCCCCCTCGCCTGAAGTACGGGTTGTACGGCTATTGTATAAGGGCACACTTATGCACCGTCGTCCTCCAAGGAGACCTGTCTTGCCTGCTCCAGGCATGTATATACATATATATATATATATATGGGTAGTTCTCTAAATTAGGGTCCCTTTTTCGGTCACCAATATAGTACGGCACCCTTATAAAAAAGGCCCTACAAGGGGCCCTAATTTAGAGAACTACCCATGTACACAATACGTACACAATACTGATTATATTACCTGAGTCAGCACTCCTTGCAGGCATCCATGGCATTGAAGACAAGGCCCTGGGCCATGGCATCGTCCCAGGAAATGCCAAACCTGATGCTTTTGTCTCCGTATTGTTCGTTGTATCCATCATACTGTTCGTAGTGTCGTAGTGTTGGTGAAAGTATGCAGATTAAGCATGGCATTCATACGTATTCATATAATGCGGCTGCAGGACCCGAGAAGTGGGCCGAAGATCCTCAAGAGTAAGGTCTCTGCTTGAGGGCCCAGGGGTATACATGGACTGGTTGACATCATTTACCCTAAACCCTTTTTTGCATCCAGGACTCTTGCAAGACCCTAAACCCTAAACCCTAAAACTCGAAACCCTGCCCTCTTTCGCTGCCCATGTCCGGCTGCTGTAAGGGCCTTAATTATTAGAATAGAGCTTTGGGGCCCATTATACTATAGTTATAATAAGGACCCCCCCCCCCCAAAACAAAAATAGTATTGGTAGTTATTTAGGGCCCTACATTACTGCATGTTTCTGGGGCACCAACCCTACTGGAAGCATTGTGATGTTGCATCTGTGTTGGTACTCACATTTTCAGAATCGTCGTTGTCGTAGCCTGGTGTACTGTAGTTGTACCTGTCGTGTTAGGCTGCTCGTTGACGAAGCTTGAATAATCGCTACTCACGCCCTTGTTAACTTTGTAACACTATGGCCGTCTCATCCCATATCATGACCCTTGCCGCGAGTGGTGCCGTGAATATCATGGCGCTACTGTAAAAGCATTGTAATGCTCCTGGCAGGATCGCTAACAGACCCAAGGTTGCCAGGCCTCGGAATTCAAATTACAGGTTCATGGGACTTTGTAACAAAACAACCCAAAACCCTAAACAGAACAACTTGAGAGGGCAGTGACTTGAAGGGATTAAGGGTTCTACAGGGTCAGGGCTTCAGGGCTTCAGGATTTCACATGTCAGGTTGAAGGGAGCCTGCGATCGTCATGTTAATCTATAAATATAGCTATGATAATAAAATAACAATAACCATACGAATAATCATCATAAGACTGTTCTTCATGGTAAAACTAACAATAATCAGAATTGTATAATAATGGAAATATTTGAAATTAATTAGAACCCTGACAAGAAAAGTAATACTAAAAAACACAGTACTCAATATCAATATTAATCGTACTTGCTTACAGTACTACCTGTGGCCTTGTCTGAAGTACTTGGCCACGGCACTGGCTCTGGAACTTATCCTTTGGCACGTTGAGCTCGGATGGCTTCATGATCGTCGCCTGTTGGACGCCGGCCAATCCACAACCACCGGAAAGGCATCCATGCAGTTTCCGGGTATGATTCTCACGAAACCCTGGAAGCAGCTATTTCATAGGTACCTGGGCTTCTAAGGCTTCATGAACAGAAGGATCGCTGAAAGGCCAGATCTGGCATCATTGGCGCGGATCTTGGATATGGCTCGCAGGATGCGAGTGCGAAGTGGCGAACATTTCTATGGACCGACACCAGCATTCGCTGGATAGGCTTTAGGGTCTGGAGTAAGGCTTTAACCTGCACAGATGACACTGAAAGTGTGGATGGCCAAACATGGGATGTCCAGGACTCTCCCAGCTGCACCCTTCGAAAAGGGCCAACCCTCAGTCCAGATGTGCATGGGAGTTTCCAAAAATTAGGGTACCTAATTTTGGGGTCCTTGTAATAAGGGTCCTAGTATTTAGGGCACTATATTAGGGTCCCCTATTTTCGGAAACTCCCACATTTCTCGAGAAAACGATCTCCCCAGCAGGCCTCTCTGCAGTCTTCCCCAGGCTGCAAAGAACCAAATTCCTGAAGCCCTACCTTAAGAACCCAAAACCCACTTTTTTGTAGGTTCCTAATATAAACCCTAATATGAGGATTTATAGGGACCCTACAAAAAAGTAGGTTTTGGGTTCTTAAGGTACACCCTAAAAAACATCGTAGAGCTGAGCCCTGGAGCCACAGCGGCGAACGAGCCTTTGAAGCGATAGCATAGTAGTGCCTCGTATGAAACGCTGGGCTGCAGTCCTAAATCCCTAAAACGCCGCTTGCGTGTAATATCGGGGCCGCGAAGAATCAGTATAGACAGGTATAGACCATGTAAACACATAAGAGAACCCTGGCCATGCCCCCTTATGTGGCTGTTTAGGTTTGTTTGGTAGTTCATGACTCTGTCATCTGTTCATCTCGAGGTGACAAGGCTCTTGGCCACTACAACCTGGCTTCCCAGAACATGTAGGGGCCTTCATGATTAGAAATAGGGTTCCTTTAAAGGGTTCCTTTAAAGGGGTTCTATAAGGGTCTAATTTAATTTAGGGGCCTTCGTCGATTCCATCCTCAACATTCCTAAACCCTAACATAAGCCCCTTTCAAACTACTGGACTCACGTCTAGCCAGACTACGACCTAAACCCTAAACATCCCTAAGCCCTAAACCAGTCGGAGGAAGATGAGCATCCGAAGCTGGGGCCTTGGGTGTACGGGCTAACAGCTAGCGTAAGGGTTTAGGGGTTTAGAACAGGGGGGTATCTGATCAATAATCTGTTGATTTGAAGCACGGACGAGACAGCTGCCACCGGGAATTGTGCATTTCTAGAAAGCTCAGTATGTTCTTGCATGCTGCAGGTTGCAGCGGCCACAGATGCATGCTGAGTCTGTTGCTTCTCTGGGAGAGACTGCGACTTTATCAAGCACCGAGCCAACCCCAAACCTCAAACAGTCTGGACACCAGAATCCTGAACACCGACCTCCTCTCCACGTCCTGGTTCCCGAAATACCAGAAAATGCACAAGGCTCCTCAGTTCCCCAGAGCCCTGACCCTAGCCCCAAATTCAGGAAACCCTTTCGAAGGCAGCAAAGGCACTGATCAATCAGCTTCTTTTGGTCGATGACTTCGGAAGTCAGGTCGCCCTCTGACGTGACTTTTAAGCCCTGCCGGGGATGATGAGGGATGGGATGCTTAAGGCAACTGCTGCATCTGCTGAATGCTGCCCCTACTACTGATAATAGTACTACTAGTCATGATGGCGCTGGCACCTGAATGGAGGACGACGACGACAGCGACAACAGCAGAGCAACAGCCACAGCAACACCCCGACCACCGCCACCACCACTACCACTGCCGCAACCGCCACCACCGCCACCGCCGCCACCACCGCCACCACCGCCACCACCACAACTGACACCACCACCACCACCACCACCACCACCACCACCACCACCACCACCACCACTGTAACTAAGACTAAAAGTATGGGCCGCAAGAGTGGATGTAGAAAAACGTGGCAGCATGAAGTTGCGTAAGGGGGGTGGTAGCCGAAGGATTCATGAGTCGCCGAGGGCTCGTGGACGGTTCCCTGCTAGCTGACTATCTGTTCATAACAGGCGCCCGAAGGGCAAGCATGATTTAGAAGAGGTACTGGATTGTGGCGTAGCTGCGATCTTTGCTCAGTGAGCCATTTTCGCATGAGTCGGCTTGTATCCTGAAGACCATTTGTTGAATGGCTTCTTGAACAATCCGCGAATAGGCTATTTTGTGGTTGTTTTGGGAGGTGCTCGTGTTGAGAGATCCCCTATCACCTGAACGCCATCAAGACGTCAATCCCAAACCTGAGACCCTACATTCTACATCCTGGAGAGCTCCAGCCCTGCAGCCCAAAACTGGACCTCTAGGCCCTGAACCCCCACCGCCTTATAGGGTCCTAGGGTTCTAAACCCTGAAAGCTGAGTCTAAGCCAAACAGCTCACACCCAGGTGCGGCATGCCTGCGGTGCGTCGCGGGCGGCTCCGATTTGTCGTCCAGGCCTGCTGGGGATTTGGTGTTTGCGGCTTCTTCTTGAGGGTTTCGGACCATGTAGGATTTATGGGATCTGTTCTTAAGGGGTCATGCCGCTGCTTGGAAGTTCAAGTCGGGTCTGGGACAGAGCCAGATCGAAGGCGTCCGAAGTAGACTCCTGCAGTGGCCGGCCTTTCTGGTGTTCTTCGTTTCGCTCGGTGTGCCAGATCTGAGCTTGGCAAGCTTGATGCTCGGGAGGAGAAGTGACGTCATGAACACTGTGGAACACTGAAGCGTAGGGTTCTGCACATGTTATGCTCGATGCCTCGCGTTCCATGGCTTGGCCCGCCATGGCGAGAAGACTTCCTCAAGGGTTTTGTCATCTGCTCAAACTCATTACAAACTTGACGTTCCGGAACGAGGCACATTTGTGTAAATCAATTGCCTTGTGGCGCGCCGCGGCCCGTTGTCATTCTTGTCCATCTCCCTTGCGCAGTCCATGTTCCTTACATCAACTTCGTTCGATTTCCGAAGGTGTATTGCTTTGTTTGGCCCCATTTGTTCGAGTTTCGGATCTTTGACGTGGCGGGTTGAGTTGTTTTGTTGGCTTCTGAGCCTTTAGCTGTTCAGGCTCAGGATTCTGCTTCTGGGCAGTCTGGGCTTGGGTGTTGAGGGCACGACCCCTGCACCCCAAACCCCTGTTAAAACCCTACATAATGCGGAAGCGTTTGTTTGGGCAAGTGTAGTCAACTGTCTTCTGGCAACTTGCCTTCCGAGATGCCAGGATTTGGCAGTGTTCCTGTCTCATGTTCAATTGATGTTGAACCATCACGAGAATGCTAATACTAATACTAGCAATAGTAATAGTACTATTGATAGTAAAGAACCAACAGTACTAGTACTTGTAATACTAATGGTAATGGTACTGGTAATAGTAATAGTAATAGAGACAACAACAATAGCAAATCATAACAATACCAATAATGCTACTAAGAATATTCATAATACCATAACTACTAATACTAATGATATTCAAATTAATAATCAGAACGACAAGACTACTCCAGAGCCATCAGGCGACTTGCCTCGGACGCCCGGGGCCTGGTGTGACTCGCAAAGACTGCTGCAGGTGCGAGGAGAGTTGGTGTCAACAGTACCACCATGTTGTACAGACCATCTGGGCTCAATACAGGGTTGGCCTGAGGCCAGGTTGTTCTTGAAACGCACTGTTTTGCATCCGTGAGTGCATCGTCAAAACTTGGCTTCTATTGTGAAAGCGATATAGAAGCTTTTAGTTGTCCCTGCATGTGAAAGCCGGAATGTCCAGCTGTGGTCGTTGCCAAACGCACGATGCAGGCCCTTTCCAGTAAGTTAGACCCCAGTCCCCAAACCTCCTTCTGCTGTAACAATAAAACTCTTCTTATTGATGTGCGTACTCTTAGGAGCAAAAAAATATCAACAATACCGCTCATGGTAACAAGAGTGAGAACAAGAATAGCACTACTCACAATAACAGGAATTGGCATCATATTGAAGTAAGGACTGGCAATGATAATAACAGTACTGTTAACAGTAATATTAATGACCAGCAGTAACCACAAAAGTAGTCGCAATGATAATAATGGTAATGTTTATGAAAAATATATTTATGGAACAACTTGCACGCGCAATTGATACTAATCAGACCACGGCTAAAATAATGATAAGAAGGATATTCCTGCTGATAACAAAGAAAGTAACAGTACAAATAATAGTCACGAGTGCTAGTAAGACTACTGGTAATACCAGCTACAGTACGACCACTACTACGACGACGACTACTACTGCTGCTACTCCTGCCTGTGCTCCTGCTCCTGCTCCTACTCCTACTCCTGCTGCTGCTGCTACTACTACTACTACTACTACTACTACTACAACTACTACTTCCACTACTAACAACAATATCATCAACAACAACAACAGTAGTTATAGTAGTGCATATTCATGTTAGTATATATGTCGTTGGTAACAGTAATGTCGGTACTATTGGTACATGCATAGACCTGTGTCTATTGGCTTTCCTATGGACAAAAACAACAATATCGATAGTACTTTGGACATTCATGATGATGTCAATATTGATGTTAGTAGTAGTATTAATGCATTATTAAGGTTAAAGGTTTTTGTGAATTGTTCTTATTCGTAGTATTATGATTGTCTTTGTCATTGTTGTTATTGTGATTATGATTGCCATTATGGTCATGAGTATTGTTGTTATGAGTATATTAACATGAGTCTTTTTTCAGTGCGAATATCAATGTTGATGTTCACATCAACATTTTTAACCATCGTTTTATTGTTATTACTACCAGTATTGGTATTTCTCTCATCAATTTCCAGTATGGGTTCTCTCATTGTTAATCTTCATGGTTTGCATATCCATATAAACATGTCTAGAAACTGTCAAAATCAACTTTAGTTGTGTTGTCATTGCGGCGTGTTTGCCAGCTTGTGGAACTAAGGCTGAAGCAAAACTCCACGTATGCCGTGCGCGTGCAGGCCGACGCGGTTTGAGCAAGCAAAGCATCAGTTTGGGAAACCATGGATTTTTCCGAGGCATTAAGACATCGAATTGGGTTGCTTCCAGGGTGAGGCTGGTGTTTTGGGGTGTATCATAGCAGAGTCATATTGAGGAACCCCGAGGATTTGTATTGCTAATGATCTAGGCTTCTAAATAAACACTCCGTAAGTCACCTTTCGCCCGAGATCAGCAAGCGAGCAGAGCAGGCACAGGAGGTCTGAGAGAGTGAAGGGCAACTATGGGCAATTGCTCATTAGCAGCCCGAGTCGTGTAATTATCGTGCACAGGCTGACATCTCGGCTTGCCGTGCCGCAGGAAACCTGCACAGACCCGAATGCCAATGGAGACTTCGCGATGCTGTCGGAGAACGTCTCCGCCCAAGTCAATTTCCGATGTGGCAATTAAGCATTGATAGTTCCTATTGGACCCCACGCACTGCACGATGAGCATGAAGCCATGCAAATCGTCGGCTGCAAGTGCTATTTACATATGGGAGTTTCCGATAAGAAGGGTACCTTATTCTGGGGTCCTCATAATAAGGATCCTACTATTTAGGGTGCTATAGTAGGGTCCCGTATTTTCAGAAACCCCCATATCAAGCACCTGGTTCAGCGAGGCAACGACGATCATTGCCACGATTCCGGCAGATCCACCGGAAAATCTCACTGTGAGCAATGAGACCGTGGAGTACTCGGACACCTTACATTCCTCGTATTCTGTTCTAAGGAGTTTTCGGGTGTTGCTTCCGGCCAGCCGACAGCAGGGCACGAGACTGAACTCGAGGCCTACACGTTTCTGTTGGAGTTTGATGCCGGAGAGCCGTATGTGGGCTCCTAAGCAGATGTGTGAGCCTCGCATCCGGTCTGGTCCTGCTTCCTGGCCTTTTCGTTCCGCAGGGGTTGGCCCCAAACCTAAGATTTACGACTCAAGCAGTGGGCAGACTCTTCTTGCAGCTTCCCGATCTGTTCATCTTCCCTCAAGCTCCATCTAGCGAATAGCTGGCGAAGGCCAGCTTGAGAGTGCCGAGGACTGCTACTTCACCGGCTGGGCCGTGGAGGCACCTCGGGAAGATCCGGCTGATGGTATAATCCATAATAAGGAGTATAATATAATTCCCATAGCTTAGGGTCCTTAAGGTAATGATGGTATAACCCATAATAAGGAGTATATAAAAATTCCCATAGCTTAGGGTCCTGTTGATGCGGGGTTTATATCATCAACAGTATTGCACTGCTTTCGGGGAGCTGGCTCAGAGTCGGGTCCAGAAGTTGGGACTTGGGACTCTGTGAGGCTTCTTCTTGTGATGCCTTGATGCCGAACTTCTGTCACGGTCATCACAGCAACCGTAGCATTTGTGTTGATGGCTTGTCTCGTCTCGTTTCGAAGAGCATGCGAGCGCCAGCCCAACTGTGCTGAAACTGACGGGTTCCTGTGAGGTTCGCGAAAACTGGACAGACGGCAATTTTAGCAACGAGACCAACTACACAGCCACTTGGTCGTGCTGAGTGTGGGAGCAGTCATTGCAGCACTCTATGATTGTGGCAAAGTACTTTGCAGCAGTAGGGAAAGAAGAAAACACATAAGCAGAACGGCACTCACAACACCGTCAATCTACACTGCAAACAAAGAGTGAGCAGTCACAGCGATAGTATGTGAGCTTGTTGTTGTTGTATTTGTAGCCGTATCTGAGCTTAGCTGCAAAGCTGTTGAAGACTTGTCAATGATGTTAGCAGCAAGCAGCACTAAAACATGGTGAAATTCTAGTACTGCTTGCCATGATTAGCTTCTCACCTTGACATTGCGAAGAGTGTGACGATCCAAGGAGTTGAACTATTCGCTCTGGGTGCCGCGTGACGAGTGCAAGAACGAGGAGTCTCGGCACGTGGAATCCGGTCGTTCTCCGAGTAGATGTTGAGCTGCAGCCCCGCTTGCACTAATTCGCCGCGCTGTCGCGCATTTCCGGCTGAAGAGTGGGCCGCGAACAGGAGGCTTTCCCTCGAAACCGCATGCGCCCGAATCCGAGCACTGGACCCTTGCGAATTCATGGGGCTCGTATGGGTTCAGGTCAGCATCTATCGAGCTTAGCTGGCGCAGAGTGGCAGATGCATGAACCCAAGTCTCCACGAGGTTGCGTCGTTCCAAGACTGCGGAAGCACTCGATCTACGACGCGAAGGCGCCATCTCTTTCTCGTGCCCGTTTGTCCCATCCTGTTCAAGTCTTCAAGAGCATCCCATATGGAGCCCATGCGGCTCAGAACCCGACGCCCTAAACCCATGCCCCAAACCCAAACCCGTTCTGGAGCCCATAACTCAGAGCTCTAAACCCTAAACCCATACCCCAAGCCCGAAACCCTAAACCCTAAACCCCAAACACTGAACCCTAAGCCCTAAACCCTAACCCATGGCGAGGTGCGGGAGACGTGCTACGACGGCTACACGGAGCTGCTGGACAGCGACTTCTCCTCGGAGCTGCCGGATCGACAGGCCCGGCTCCGCGACCGGGAAGCTTCCGGAAATCCTCGAGTCAACAGATGTGTACACACACTTTTTTTTACACAGTATATATATATATATATATGTATATATGTGTAGGCTAAACCTGACATACACATATGTGTGTATACATGTGAAGCAGGTATATCTATATATATATATATATATGTATGTTCGTTTCTTTTCCACATCTATAGACACAAATATGTATGTGTGTATATAAAAATATATGGTTCCTGTGGCTCGAAGGTGTGCGATCGAGAGAGCAGACGGTGCAAGGAATGCTCAGGACAGTCCCATGGAGGTGCATGCCTACAGCATGCTTTGCCTAGGCCTAGCTAAAGCTCGTCGGTGCATCGTGCTGCCGGCTCCCTTGCGCACGCAGCCGGCCAGCCAGATTCTCGTCCAGATGGCATGCCATGTCGTCTCCGGCACCGGGGTGTGCTGCGAGCTACCGGACTCTGGCTGCCTGGCTGCTGATGCAAATCCATGGAGGACCGTCTTAGCTTCATGAGACCGCAGACGGCGCATGCAAGGGCCAAAGCTATTTCGGTCGGCCCGGCATGCCAGGAGCAGCGCAGCAGGAGTCGCTGTCGGGTCATCCATGCTGGGGAGCAGACGCCGCCGACTCTTGGGCATCCCGGCCGTTAACTCCGCAGCGCTGTTGCGTGAATCCGCCATTTGGGGATGCGACTTGTTGGATGAATGGCCTGGACTTTGACCTCTGCTGCACCCGCTGGCTCCATCCACGCGCCCCAGAGCCGGTGCACCAGCGGCTGAAGGAAGACTTGACAAATTGCATGCAAGGAGCGGCTCCTGACGCGAAGCCCAGCGCCGAGTGCCGGATGTCGGCTTATGCTGCGATTGAAGGTTCACCTCTCGGGCGTCTTCTTTGGTGTGCCATTGAAGCAGCACGCGTCTCCCGTGTGTTTGATGTGTTCATCGGCTCTGGTTGCAGCGCCGCCACTGCGGCAGCAGCCATGTCTGCCAGATGGGCCAGCCCTCTGCCGGTGCCCGTCCTGATCGGCTTCGAGGATCCGGAGCCTCAGCGAGCACAGAAGGCGCGTGCGGCACTGGCTCGCTGGCGGGCGAGGCGGCTTCCGGTCGGCGGCATTGGTCAACAACAGCTCCAGCAGTTTCGTGCCGCGAGCCTGCGCCTGCGGAGCTGGGTGGAGGAACGAGGCGAGGACCAGGAGTCTATTGTGGGGCTGCTGGCAGGGCCCATGCGTCCAAGAAACAGCAGCTGCAGCGAGTGCTTGTCGAAGTGGGCCTTGGACTGCCCGGAGCGCTGCGTCTACTCCTTCGGGGCCATCGAGGCAGCCTGCGAGGCTTTGCGCGGCGTGGACCTGGTCTTCCTGGACTCCGATGGCTCGGCAGCAGATGGCTGGCTGGTGGAGTGGCTCCAGGTGCGTGCCAGCTGTTGTTGCTTGCTCTGCAGGCTCTACATTCATCTGAGATTCATCTTGCATGCCTGGCGAGGTGGAGCGGGCCTGCGCCCCCCGACTGGTACTGCTGCTGAACTTGTCCCTGCCAAATCATGGTGCTTGGATCAAGGAGCGGCTTCTAACTTTGGGCTACACCGAAGTTTGGCGAGACGGCCTACTGCTGAATCCAGGCGAATACCCAGAGTTTCTCGAGGATTTGTTTCGGGACAGACTGCAACACCATAGCTGGAGCATGCTATACTCTGGGTCCCTAGGTGGTCTGCAACCTTGCTAGCTTTTTTGTCTTGTTTCGTGCTTCCCTCAGATCCTTTTTCAACAATGGCATTCTCCGACGTGCGCCGTGTGCGGACGTGGTCGCTGTTGGCCTACACAGGTGTCGCCGCAAAATCAAAGAGCTATTTAACAAGCCCTGGAGTTAATGAGTATATTTTGAAGCACAATAAGGTCTGTGCTAGGGTATATTCGTTGTTTAAGGGGTATCGTGTTGTTGAGCAGCATGGCGATCGCTTTGCCACTTCGTATCATGGGCCTTCCGTGGAAGGTCTGAACGAGTAATGCCTTCGGCAAAACACTTGTTGTGATGCCAACCCGTCAGGATCTTTGTGATTCCATAGCTGCAAGCAGATTGGCTTCGATGGGTACTGTTCATCGTCGAGGTGACTCTGCCCAGGCTCAATGTCGTGGAGTTCATGGACAGCGGTCGTTTGATTGTGGAGCTCCGTGAGAATGCTCTATTCAGCAATCGGGGTAAGGTTGCGTACCCTGAAGAAGAAGATATTGACGCTTTGCGTGCGCGGAGCGACCAATGTCAAACATGGAGTTCGACATGATGGCTCTGCGATCCGTCTCCTCTTTTAGGCTGCCTGGGGCCAGGCCTGCTGGGCTTGATGGCAAAGAGAGCAGCTCTCTCTCTGTCTCTCTCTGTCTCTCTGGAGTGCAATACTGTGAAGGGCAGTTGGACATATGCCACTGGTCATTGCCAGACGAAGTACGAGACCTCGAGCTTCACAGAGGCTCAGAAGACGGCCGCAACGGACGTCACTTTAGGAGGTCGGTATCACTATGGTGGCCTACAGAGGTCACCGGAACTCCTGCAAGATTGCTTCCTGAAGGGAGAGACTGTGGTGCTGCTGACAGATTGTGGGACTGCCAGACTGCAGTGCTGCTGGCCCTTGCAGAATGCGTGCTTTAGCAGTTCTCCAGAAACTCTGAGACCGTGGGACTGCCCTGCGGTACCTTGCACAAGGGGTTGAGGGCGTAGGGTTTGCATGAACGGAGGCCGAGACGCTTGTGCCGGTGGCAGCGACGAGTCCCTTCGGTGCGAGTCTCGAGGGGTTTTGGGCCTTGGCGATGTACATATATATATATATATATGTTAACATATATTAGTTTATCTATACATACATATAGTTAAATAAATAAGAAAATGTATATATATATATATACACATACATATTACTTACTTACTTAAATTATACTGAAGTTTGGCCCTTGCACCGCTACCAACTGAGGCCTGGTCAGTTTGAGCCAGGGACCTTACAGCTTCTCCTTGGCCTGGTCTGCAGGAGATCCAAAGGACGGGGCCGCTTCTGGCAAGCACATGCGGAGGATGTGCCATACTAATATACCTTAAGAACCCAAAACCTACTTTTTTGTAGGGTCCCTATGAATCCCATATTAGGGTTTATAATAAGAGCCTACAAAAAAGAGGGTTTTGGGTTCTTAAGGTAGGGGCCATAGGGCTGTGGGGCCCATTGTACTATAATTATGATCAGGGCCCCCAAAATAGTGTTGGTAATTATCGTAGGCCCCTACATTACTCGCAGTCGCAGGATGTATTGGGTGGGTGTTTGAAGTCTCCTTCCCAGAGGATAAACCCAGAGACGTGCTCTGCAGGACTGCCTCTACCAGAAGTGGCTGGTCGAGATAAAGGACGACAACTACACAGGTGTCATCACGCTGATATCTTGAGTGCCATGTTACTTCTGTGTGAGGTGCAGAGAATGTTGACTCGGGAAGGTGGTGGAAGGTGTAACGTAAGTGGGCTGCGGAGTGCGAGATATGTCAGTCCTAGATATAGTGCCAGCTGACATGCCTCATGCAGTAATGGAACAGAGTGTGCTGCAGGTACTGCATCACGAACGACACTAGTTTAGAATTTGGTATAGCGTCAACTAGCCCTGGCAGGCAGTGTCTGAGTGTGCAATTCGCCTAAGCTTTTCCTGATCTTTTCGACACTGCAGAGACTTCAGCCACCAGGTGATGTGTGGCGAGAGGCCATCGAGTGTGGACGAGAAGCGCGCGCCGTCACCAGCCCGGGTCCCGCAAGCTGTCGCGGCAGTTCTTGGGCCAAGCAGTGCCAACAGCTTTGCTGGACGATCGCGGCCATTTGCACCCTGAAGCCTAAAGCTGAAGCCTTTAAGCCCAAAGGGGCTTCCGCGACGATTTGTGTGGCAGACCCTGGCTTTGGTATGTCGTGTCGGAGCGGAGACTCGAGACGAACCGTGCACGGAAACCGAAATTCATGAAGTCGCAAGAGAAGGGCCTCGAAAGTAAGTGTATCATAATGTACCATGCAATGCGAGCCGCGAGCGTGAACTGTCAAAGAAAAACTGATCGGTAAGAATGTTGTCAGCAGTTTAAATTCCATTGCCTTTGGCCCAGGCTGCACCATCACAATGCTTCACGAAGGCTACCTGGGAGAAGAGGTGCGCTTCAGTCTGGTCGGAAACTGTATGTATAGTTCACATCCAATGCAGAACGCGTCGAAGTTTCCGTTGTCATTCATCATCATCATCATCATCACCATCATCATCTGGCCACGGGCTACCCCTCGTCGTGGCAGCACGAGAGCCTGTAGGCCCATCTTCGCAGCAACACGGAGTACGAAGTTCGCGTGAAGGAGTTCTGTCAGAGCCTAAGCACATGAAATGGTGCTGATGACCGCCGCAGATTGCCAGATCTTCACCGATGGGCCATCCAGGCCAAACCTACACGTCGATCTACGATCCATGGGGAGGGTCGCGAGAGCGTTCGGCACCCAGAAGCTCAATCTACCGAGTTTGATGTTGCACATGTCCCCACCGTGCCTGCGAGACAGATTGTGATCATGTACATCTGTCATACCATACAGATGCCGGGCTTCATAGCATGGGTCTGCTCAACGCTGAGACGGGAACAGCTCTTGAAGTTGCACTTTCATGGCTTTGTTCGCTACATGCCTCGAGTTTGGTGAAGTTCTTTTCCTCCTGCATCGCAGCCGGGCACGTCAGACACGGGGCCTTTAAGCCTTTTAGCCCATACACGCTGGACGCCTAGCCATCCGCTACTCTACGCTTCTGCCAAAGTGCTCTGAACTCTGAACCCTCAAGCCTATACGGGGCCTAAACTTTGGTTGCCCTCAAGGTGCGGAGTACCTGGACAGTCCCATCCACTATCTGCCGGCCGACCAGTTGCCCAGGTCGGTGCGAAGCATCGTTCGGTCCTGTTTCGGCATTGATGAGTTCGGTGACCAGTTTTGCGGTGTCTTGTTGCTATGCCCTTATTGTAGATAGTTGGAATCACTGTTGATAGACGAAAGACGAAGCAATCCTGCACAGTCAACCATAGTTTAGCGGTGTTTGGTTCGCTTGAGGTAATGCAGGATTTGGGTCCATCAGCTAGCTGAACGGAACAGATTCACAAGGAGGCAAGGAGCAACAGTAGAAGCCCTTAGAAGAGGCTTTTGAACATCATCATCATCATCATCATCATCATCATCATCACCATCACTATCGCCATCACCACCACCATAATCATCATCACCACCACCATAATCATCATCACCACCACCATCGTCATCATCATCATCATCATCATCATCGTCATCGTCATGAAGCCATCTTCCTCACATGCTTCTTCCCCACAGCTGTTTATCATGACCACCGTCCGGTCGCATTCCTGATCACCCTGGCAATCAGTGGCTTGAAGTTCTTTCAGCAAGAGCTGGGCTACAGTGGACACACTCAGTTCATGCACGCAGGACACTGGCTCCTGTGCCAACATTGACACCCCTCAATTTCAAGGTGAATGAGACGGATCACCAGCTCGTGACTCAGTGTCCCGCATGGAGCGGACAGTGGATCATGTTCTTTTGGATTGCATTTTGGTCGATGATCGGGAACGAGGTCCTTTAGACTCAGCTGGGAAGCCCAAATCTCCAACGACTGCCGGTTCCGGAACTGGACCGTGGAGGACCCCTGATGCAGCCAGTTAGCATAACGGCCATGAAGCGAATTAGATCTGCAGTCTCTTCGAGTGAGGTTGTCTGTTTGCTCGTTTGCAGCCCTGTGCACAGATCCGGCTCGTCATCCACTGCATTGCCGGGGTCGGTTACACGAATTGCACGGAGGCTGCATGCTCAGAAATACACGTGGGTTTCAGTAAATCAGAAACTGCCGCTACCAAAACTGGTACTACTACTACTACTACTACTACTACTACTCCTGCTACTACTACTGCTGCTGCTGCTGCTACCACCTGCTCCTCCTCCTACCACTCCTACTACTCCTATCCTACTGGTATCCTACTCCTAGTGATATCCTACTCCTACTACTTGTACTACTCCTACTACTCCTACTACTCCTACGACTCCTACCAGTCCTACTGCTCCTGCTATAACGCTGGGCTGACACTAATGCTAGTTCTGATACACATACCTTAATACCGCTAGTAGTACCTGCCGTGATAAGCATAGCAATTTGCATAATAATGCTAATGAGCTCTCCTACACAGGGTAGCTCCATGGAAGGAATTCGCTTGGTGATCAGGTCGAAGACCAGCCCTGGGAAGTTCCGGGCACTTGTGTCATCGAGGCCCGACTTCAGGATTTCCGGTTTGTTGAGATTTTTTTCATTCGCTGGCGAAACAAGTGGAGAAGGGTTTTTTTGGTTTAGACGTATGTGCGAGCCCTGTTGGGAACAGTTTGTTGCATGTCTATGGTACATGTAAAAGCAGTTCTTATCATGGTTTAGGGGTTAGGTTTTTTTTGCTTAGGGTGCATTCACGACTCCTAAGGACAGGAACACGGGGCCGTAATGAGAGTACTGGTCCTTGCCATGACGGTCGCAGGCTGCTGGGGTTTCAGGCTTCTTGGCACGTGCAGCGCCTAGCCACCTCATTCAAGAAACCTGTAGCCTTGCGGAGGGCAGTCGCCAACGTACACTGACCACTGACCACGCCACGGTGCGAAGAGCCATGGTTTAACAGCAGAAGATTGGACATCGTCCCGGGAGCTCACCGTTTCTTGCAATTCCCTGCAACGCTGGGCAGGACAGGTCGGTTACCAGCTGCAAGGCCGGGTGTCGAGAAGTCCTATGGCTGCTATCACTGTTATCATGATTGCCATCACTAGTGCTATCGCTTTCACTAGCGTTATTATTGCGATTGTGAATACGGGCATTACTATTGCCTGCTTTGTGTGATTACTACTTCTCAAAGGAGGTCAATGTTGGACCTAGATGTGTCAGGTTTCTTGCCGGATGCTTCTCTGCAGGGCAGGATTCGAGCCCAGCCCGTTGTGCACTGGACCTGTGGCTTCAGGTGCATAATGTGAAGAGCTACAGCTTCTACGAGGTCAAGATGCGGGAACGCTGTGCGCGACCTACGGATAAAGATGCCGGGGTCGGCCAAAGCACCCAGAACGCAGCAAGTAAAAAGAAACCCTGACCTCAGGCAGCGATGCGACGTCAGAGAGTGCGGATGCCACACTGATTGCCCTCTTCCCAGCTTTGCGTTGGGGATGTGGGTGGAGACTTAAGGTCCACTTGAATCCACTTGACTTGAACTCAAGGAATCAAGGATGTTGATCCAGGTCTTTTGGTCATGATGTTCAGGTGTGTCCTGCGTAGACAAAAGCCACGAGACGAGAGCCTTTGAATTTCGAGAACGAGGCGGAAGTGTGGCCCTTCCTGTCGGACGCGCCGGACAACATGCCCAGCTGGCCATTGGTTGCACAACGGGGCCTTCACACCACAGCCCAAGCAGCAAAAGACATGTTGAGAGATTTAGGCGTCCTTGGCCCTCCCTGTGCTAGCCCAATACTCGCTTCGCCTCCCATGCCAGGACCGTCACGTCTCCCGAGCCGTTCACGCTGAATGTGAAGTGGGACCCCGGAGATCCCCAGGAATGTGTCCTGGTAAGCATTGAGCTTTTGCCAACTTCGGGCGTCTTTTTGGTGGATCTCTTCAGCAGCTCTTTCCGTTAGTTGTATGTGTATATGTATATGCATACATGCTGTCATCTGTGCATATGTCAAAACACATTCACACATACAGGCACACACGTATCTAATATATATATATATATGTATATAAATAACTCTCTCTCTCTCTCTCCACTAACGCCCTTATAAATGGTAGCGCGTGGTCACCGTTATGGTTGGTGTTGTCCCTTTCCACCGTGAACTGTCCCAGGTGTCTTCTCGCACTGGGACGTTCAGGTTCAGGCCTTCAAGCTGTGCCCAAGATGCATGTCCGGCTCGTCTGTTTGTTTCTTCTTGCTCCTTCTCATCTTCACTGTCAGCACCATCCGCATCGTCCTCCGTCGACCCTCCTTCCTGATGACCGTCGCCATCGCTATAGTTCTGTTCATCGTCACTTGGAACGTCGTCATCATCATGTTCCTTCCTTCTTTCCTTCCCTCCCTCCCTCCCTCCCTCCCTCCCTCCCTCCCTCCCTTCACCCTTCCTTCCTTCCTCCTTCCTAGATTCCTTGATTCATTACTCGTTCGTTGGTTAATTCATGATTCCTGCATTCACCATCATCTCCTGCTCCTCCTCCTCGTCCTCCCCCTCCACCTCCTGCACCACAGCTCTCCTTGATTTCCTATCCTCTTCCTCCGAATGGTCATCCTCGTCCCCATATTCGTCCACATCATCATTCTCTTCCTCATTAACATCCATGTCGTCAGCGTCGTCGCCATCATCCGTATCATGATCACCCTCGCCATCACATCGTCATCGTCATCGTCGTCGTTGTCATCATCCTCGTCATCGTCATCCTCATCCTCATCATCATGACCATGATCAGGATCACGATCATCATCTTCATCATCATGATCATTACCACCATCACCATCATCACCATCATCATGATCATCAGCATCATCAGCATCATCATCATCAGCATCATCATCATCATCATCATCACCATCATCGTCAACGTCATCGTCATTGGTCACCGTCAGCATCATCACATGATCATCATCATCATCATCGTCACCGTCGTCGTCACCATGTTGATCATCATAAGGAAATAACATCATTATTGTGCAACTCTAACATAGATCCCTTGCCGCAAGCTGGTCCAAACTCAATAAACCGTGGTCGTCCGTAGCCTCATCTATCGGAGTTTACTGCTTTCCAACCCCTACCCACTACTCTGCACCTAGTAAAGCTACCTGATGATTGTTTCAGGGCCGGCGCGTGGGTGACCTGGACGACACCTTTTCCAGGGAGTCCGTCACCGATAAATGGCCCGCTGCCCAGACAGGTTAGGCGGTGAGGCCGACAGACGGCACGATATCGAACGAAGCGTGGCCGTCTCGGCAAGGTATGGTATGATCTGGGACCTGGAGGGAAATGCCTCGTTTCTCAACTGGAGTGCGCCAGGGCTCGCCGTCTCTTTGCTACTCTCCATCAGTGGTCGTCCGCTCGACAGGTACGACCATCGACTCCTGCCGTTTGGTCGGCCAACGAGACGTTGCAGAATGCAACATCACTGGGCTCGCCGGACCCCGAGACTCAGACGACCTCGTGGCACAGATCGCACGCAGGGGACTGTACCCCCGGTCGTGTGATCACTCAGATCAGCAACGCCTTGTACGATGTGCGGATCGCAGAGCGATGTGTGGATGAACGTGCTGACAGCCCTTGGCTCGTCGTTGCCTCGGAGTGTTTAAAGACAGGCCTTGGCCGGGCCTTGGATGAAGGGCGACGAATGTCCCGAACCCCGAGTCCTGCATTCCTCGTGCCTGAGCTGTTTTGAAAGCTTGTCGTAGACTGGCTTGGCATTCCAAGATTGAGGCGAGACCAGGCGACACCGCATCGAGAAAACAGGAAAGAGCCCCTAGTCACTGGTACCTGGGAATGAGGTGGAGCGGCTGCAGGCCACGATTCCAGCTTGGGCCCTGATGCCATTGGGTCCCAACGCCGGGGACCCGGACCGTGCGACTTGTGGCATGCAGTTTTCTGTCTGGTGCTTAGTAGGGAATGGGGGAATGGGTTATAAGGACTACTATCCCATTCCCTACTAAGCACCAGACAGTTTTTTGTGAGCTGACGGTGGAGTAGATGTCCATGTTGAATGAAGCAGAGAACCAGGCAAGACATGAGTGGAGAAGCTTCTTCTTTGTTGCTTCGGCTTGGTCTCGGGAGTCGGGAGGTCAGCAACGTCACCACTACCACCATGGACCTGGAGTGGGTTCCGGCCTCTGTGGTTTCGGGCCAAAGGGTCATGGGCAGTCTGAAGCCGTAACCCTGAAACCCTAAACCCCAAGCTTAGAACAGCGCCCAGTGCTTGGGGGTTCATGGGACTTAATAAGTACAGTTATAAGTACCCTAATTGGGGTTATAAGTATAGTTACCTTGTTTATAACCCTAATTACTAAGGTACCCTAATTCTAATTGGGGTTATAAGTATAGTTACCTTGTTTATAACCCCAATTACTAAGGTACCCTAATTCTAATTGGGGTTATAAGTATAGCTACCTTGTTTATAACCCTAATTACTAAGGTACCCTAATTCTAATTGGGGTTATAAGTATAGTTACTTTGTTTATAACCCTAATTACTAAGGTACCCTAATTCTAATTGGGGCTATAAGTATAGTTACCTTGTTTATAACCCTAATTACTAAGGTACCCTAATTCTAATTGGGGTTATAAGTATAGTTACCTTGTTTATAACCCTAACTACTAAGGTACCCTAATTCTAATTGGGGTTATAAGTATAGTTGTCTTGTTTATAACCCTAACTACTAAGGTACCCTAATTCTAATTGGGGTTATAAGTATAGTTGTCTTGTTTATAACCCGTAATTGCTAAGTCCCATGAGCCTTTAAGTGCTGAGGCTGCAAGTGAGCCGCGAGACTGCCTCTTCAGCTCCTGGAAGGTCGAGGCCATGCGCTTCGGGAGGGTCCGAGGGAGGGAAAGGGTCTGAAACTGGCGCTGCAGGCATTTTAGGCATATTAAACCCTAAACCCTAAAAACCCTAAGCCCTAAACCCTAAACCGCAAACCCTAAAGGCCCTAAAGCCCATTGGGCGTTTTTGCTGAAGGCTATAGAAGCTGTTGTTTCTTTCATGGATGTCAAGCTTGGACTTTCATGCCGCGGTGTTTGCTCTGGTGGTACCGGGCTGGCACTGCCAAGCTCGGGCCGAGAGCCCTTGAGATAATTAGGGTACCTTAGTTTGGGGTTCTTATAATAAGGATCCTACTATTTAGGGTACTATATTAGGGTCCCCTATTTATGATCCCCGTCCGGAAGGGGATGGTTTTCAATCGCCCGTGACGAGCACCACGCATAGGCGAAAGGGGATTAGGGTCAAGGCTCTGTGACGGCGCACGTGCCCGGCTGCGAGATGAAAGGCAGTGTTGAGGCCTGGTGAACTCTAGATTTCAGTCAGGTGAAGCCCACGGCCATTACCGACGACGACTGGATACCGGTACCAGAGTGCTCCCTCCCTGATCGCGATGCCACCTCTTGCCAGATTGCGGCTTGGAAGCTCTAGAAGCTCTGGGCTTGCCTAGTATTCTGCCTTTTCCACACTCGACCTGAACGGCAACATGTGTTACTTAGGTGGGCCTGCAAAGCTACACCAGCTATGACATCCGGATCCAAGAGACGTGCGTCCATGACACCAGCAACAGTGCGAGCGCTGAGAGTTTCTGACGATGCACACATCTAAGAAGAGCCCTCAATGTGTGGAGCGTGCACGATCGATCTACTGCTGCAAGGTCCTTACTTGCTAGAGGAGAACTCGTTCACGACTCTGGCAGACTCCTGAGAAGCACAGTTTCCGAGATATGAACCTGTTGCGCAACAGGGGAAGCCGTGCAATGCCGAGGTGGGGAGCGTCGTCTACGTCGGGACGAACCCCAACACCAACTCCAAGGCGATTTTCTTCGGGTCGCGAGGTCTGAATGCGCGGAGCTCATCGTGAGAAAGCACGGTTTAGTGTAGTGGGGGTGGGGCCGTGTGATTTGGAGTTGTCGGCTCCGAGGGCCCCGTGCGGATCTTTAAATGCTAAGGGAGGCCCCCTCAGAACCCTCAGAAGGCACTTCAAGTTCGCAGTTAAGTTCCTGGTTCTGGAGTCTGTTTGGTGCTGTGCAAGTTTCAGGCCTGTGCCTATCACACCAAGTGCTGTGCGGACGAGTTCTCGCTCTGCTACAGCAGCCAAGAGGCACAGTGTTCGCCGCAGACCTTGTCGGAGATGTTCATCGATGATGCCAATTTTCACCTTCGTCCGTTCGATTCATGCCACGGTCGGCCAGTGTGCCTGCCCGCCATGCATGGCCAGGCTGAAGAATATCGGATAGCATAGGCATAAAGTCACCATTTGCCCCTCACCGCCGTTGGTGCAGGTGGATGTTATCCGGACCGACTTGCCGGATGCTGGCTGGGGGCAGGCAGTCCGGCCAAAGCAGAAAGCTCTAGCATACTGCGGAAGACGTTGGGGGTTTTCGGAGCAAGCAAGTTCATGCGTCCAGCTGCTCTCTGCTGTATCGGCCAGGACCTGTACCTTTCTTGCGTCGCGGATACTGCAACCGCCTCAGAATGCAGTAATTCCGCGACTTAAGTTCCGGTGGCGATCCTTGGACGCTCTGTGAGGTGCCCCAGGACGACATGAAGCGCATCGTGGCGCGCCCACCGGCAAAGCCCAGCCCTCAAACCGGCGCCCCCGAAGAAACTTCCACCCTGCCATGCAGCCACAGGAAGCTGACCTCAACTAGAGTGGGAATGTTGATTTGTATTCCCCATCGTCCGTTTCTCTAAAGATGGTGGACTATTCCCCAAATGTTTCTTCTAGCGGCTTCTAGCAAGTCATGAAGTCCCCTAAGTCATGAAGTCCCGTTATTCCTGCCTTGCCCAAGCTCTTCAGCCGCTGCTTGTCTGAGGCTCGAAGCTGTTGATCGCACCGCGAACGTGGACATGCCTCGCTTGGCTTCAAAGGGCAAGAGTAGTAGTAACGCTTATGCCAGCAGCAACAAGAGTTGCCAGAACAGCCTGTAAAAGTGTGGACAAACCATGGCATACCATGCAGCACGGCTATGATGCCAAAAGCTCTTCGTTGTGCTGAGCCCGTCTCCAGTCTTCTCAAGCATCTATGTCCCATGCCCTCATCCCAGAGACAGAAACGGTTGTTTCCACAACACCTCAGCCGCGGAATCGTAGGACTCCGGCTCACACCGTCTAGCCATGATCGATGATAGCAGTAGTTCTTGCTAGTTACTCCAACTCTGTTTTTCTACTTCTCATGCCCCGTTTCCTTCTAGTGCCCCTAAAGCAGCCCTTATAGTACTCCTTTCCCTGATGGTACTCGTAAAGTATCCCTGGCCCTTTTGTGTGCTTGTGTGTATCTCTTATCGCTGCCCTTGAAGGCTGCGCTATCGTAGCCGCTATAGTAAGCCTTTCAGCAGCTTTTTCTGCACCTCCCTAAACCCTAAACCCTAAACCCTAAACCCTGAAACCCTGAACCCTCCAGTCCATCGGCCTGGTTTGGCTCCCCTACGGCTCCGGCGGGCCTGGGGCCCGGCCTTGCCGGAGAATTCGATGACGGTCTCAGGAAATGAGGGGCCCCCGTGACCATCATCATCGTCATCAGCATCATTACCCTCATCATCATCATCATCATCATCATCATCGTCATCAACATCACCATGACTATCACCATCATCATTTTCATCATCACCACCATCACCGCTACAATCACCATCAACATCAACATCAACATCAATATGTGCATCTATATATATATATATATACATATTATATATATATATATGCAAATACTGTAGGGGCCTTGAGTCTACGTGTACTTGTATATGGACAAAAGGGACTGCTGCTACTAAGGATTCCGAGTCTTTGGACACTCAAAGTCAGGCTGGCGACCCTGTTTTTCCAGTGCCACTGAGGTACATGAGTGACTGCTACTGCTCCGAGTGGAATATCTTCGTTCGGCGACAAGGCGCTCGAATCTGCGAAGATGGCCGGCATACGGAAGGGCATGAATCCCAAGTCGGTGTCTATGATCTTCCCAAACTTCCCCCCATGGGCCCGATGAGATCCTTGGCAGGTACCACAGAGTGGTTGCTCTCTCCAGACTGTGGGCCTGACACTTTGAACTGCGCGCGACGAGGTGGTACTATGTCGGCCCTATGTAAGTCGAAGTTCTGTAACCGTGATGTGGAATCGAAGAACGCATGCCAGGCAGGAACATGCCTTTCTCCCAGAGCAGCTGCACAGTGCAGAATCTGGAAGACAACTGGCTCGCTCCAGCCAGGACCTCGGTATCCTGCAGATTGGCTTCAGACTTCAGAGTTGAGACAGGGTTTGGGGGTTCAGGGGCTTCAAGGGTTCAGTGGCTTCAAGGGTTCAGGGGCTTCAAGGGTTCAGTGGCTTCAAGGGTTCAGGGGCTTCAAGGGTTCAGTGGCTTCAAGGGTTCAGGGGCTCATGGAGAGTGGAGCAGCATGCTTGAGCTGCGCAGCCTCCTCGTGCATCTGCATGGCCTCCCCTTGACTAAGAACACCGTCTACGAGATTCGCGTGCGGCAAACTTGCAGCCGGGACCTTGTCACGACGTTCGCCAGACACGTCTCGAGATATGGTTTACCGAAAATAGGGGTACCTGATTCTATTGTGTAGGGGTCCATATTAGGCTCCCCCACTTGAAACTCCCATTTATAGCTATTGAAAGTTTCCAAGGAGTTTTCCCTCTCACCCCAAAGACTGGTTCTCTTCGCGCAGCTTGAGAGCCCCAAGGATAGGTCTGTGTTTCTCTGTCGTTCGAAGGCATGGTCACATGTCTCAGTGACAGAGGACTCTTGAACCTACCGTTGTGCACTGCGAGAATTGTGGGATGCTCAAGCCGAGACCCAGGGCCATGCCGTTCATTACTTCAAACTTCAGGGAAAGGGACTCAAGTCACGGCGAAGGCTTCGATCGCCTCAGCAGCCCGTACAAAGAGATCCAGGCGGATCTCGAACTGTTTGTTCATGTCTCGATTAAAGACGTTTGCAATGTTCATGGCATTTGAACGTAGGACCTGGTTAGGATGATAGTCAGCTGTAGTGTGCACCGTCCTACTTAACATCCACTGCTGTTTGCCCGCACCGTTTTGAGTTTAGTATTTAGGTCTTGATGGTTTGGTCTATGACGAGGCTTTAAGAGTTCCGATTGGTAAACATGCCGATGGCACGAGTGACTGTCCGACAACTGCTGAGCTTGCAAAGATCGTCGTGTACTCGGCAACAACCAACGCTCCGGTGCTGACAGCTGGAGGAATTTGTGGCCCCTCTGTTCTGAGTCTATGTGTTCCTCTTCTGTGGCTCGCTGCGCAGGTTCCCACATTACCTGGCTGTACCTTCTCCCAGCACAGCGGCCGAGACGACTACTTCGTTTGCGCGGACCGCCGGGGAGATAGGTGTTCTGAGGGCTGCCGCTATGAAGCAGCGCTTAGTGGCGCTTCGGTTTTGGCTTGTTGTCTCGCATCAGGGCCACAGTTTCGGAATCGAAAGCGTCCGAAGTGGACATTCGCACACTCCCATGGTACATAGACACGCAGAGCATCATATCCCTATCTATCTGGATGTTTGGACTCGGGTCACCTTCCACTAGGTTGACGGCAAGCTAAAGGATATTCGGACGAGTCAGTTCCGGCACTTACTTCGGTCTTTAGCAAACGGCTTATCAGAGTGTCAAGCCCCAGCCAGTCAGGACGGTTTCTTCAGCTTCATCTTTGATGGCGGTCGTTTCGATGGCGATGGAACAGGATGTTGGCGACGTCGGACCCCTGGATGTTGGTTCAGGTCAGTGCAGGAAGAACATGGTCTCGCCTGGGATTGCACAATGAAGTACTCGTATATGCCTCTGTCTTTTTCAGAGATGTCTACTTGGACGATCTGCTGCAGGTGGAGGACGAGCCCGATGTGCCAAAAACTTTCCGTATATGTCCGGTGCCGAGCATTCCAGTACCTCCAGCTGTCCACCCGGGTTTGTTTCGCTGTCTTGGTCTTCTTTCCTTGCATCGGTCGGTCCTTGCTGCAGAGCTCTGGCGAGCGTCATCGGAATGCGTTCAAGCCTTGCTTGGGTGCTTGTGCCCTGCCCATGGGAAGTTTTTTTAATGCACACAAGCCCTACTTGGAGGTTCATGAGACTTAATAAGTACAGTTATGAGTACCCTAATTGGGGTTATAAGTATAGTTACCTTATTTATAACCCTAATTACTAAGTCCCATGAGCCTTCAAGTATGCCATCAGCCCCGCTTCAGCAGCGAGTGTTGCGGTACGAAGGTGCGCCAGTCCGGACAGCTGCGCCAAGGCCAGGTCGATGGAGATTGTGCTCAGGTGTTATATCGCAATGAGTAGTTCTCTAAGTTAGGGTCCCTTTTGGGGTCTCTTTTATAAGGGTGCCGCAGTATTTTGGGCGACTCCCAAAAGGGACACTAGTTTAGAGAACTACCCAAATGAAGATCATAGACCCCGAGACCGGCTGAGACCCATCAGCCCACACACTGCCCTGTTCTTAGGGGGCATCTGAGCAGACTCTGCAAGGTCGATAGTCTTCAGACTGGCGGCGTCAGAGCGGACCTGCGGGGGGGCGGCATGAGGTGTGTGTGCGTGGGTGGTTGGGATGCTTCGTAGAGAAATCTCCGAAAGGCCTTTAGCGCAGTTTCTGGATCCAGTGGCTGGGCAAGTTGCAGATATTGGGCATTAAGCTCCATAAAATCAAGGCCTGTGAGCTCGAATTGCAAATTGCGAGTTCTCATGCCAAGCACACTGACCATTTAGCACAGGCGACCTTTCACGCCCGTCGCATGCCTCCGAGTGCACCCTGCTCCAGAGGGAAGCTGCGCCCTCCCTTTCTTTGTCTCGCCCCAAACCCACCGAAACCGCTTCACAGCCCAAACCGTGCCGGACCAGGACCACTGCTGCATGACGGAACCTTGCGGCTCGCGGAATGGCGGCGACCGGGTGTGCTTGGTGCGTCCACTACCACCCGTCCAAGACTCGGAAAAGTCTCAGGAAAGACAAAACTTGGTATTCCACGAGGGCCGCGTTTGTCCGAGGCCGACATCGTCGTGACCTCCCCCTCGCCGTACTCGCTGATGGTAGACTGGCAGGCCTTTGACGACTGACTCGTGCCTTACAGGCTGCAGGGGTACTTACGGTCTACTTCAGAGCTAGCCTGTGTAGATTGGTTTGTATCGCGATTTCCAGCAGTCGCAGTGAATTCGAGGCGGAAGGCGAGACCTCTGTAGCCCGAGACAAGGCAAGCTCCATCTCTTGCTCTGAGCCTCCCTTCAGGAACAAGACTTCGCAGTCCGCCTCCCGGTTCCCTTTGTGTTCCACATGAGAGCTTGCCAGGTCAAGAGCAGGCAGAGTATGACGGAGTGGAGACATGTAGTGCAGCATGGTACCAGGCATCCTCCTTGTCGTCGAGCCATGCGCAGTTCTGTGCAAGTCTTATGGTTCCAATCGTCGTAGTCGTGTCCCAGTCTTACCGTTGATGCTGGATATGAAGAGGTGATATTCGTTGTTGCTGATGTGGCAATTAGGGTCAAGAGGAGAAGCGGTGGCAGCTGCGTTACGTCATAGTAGCTGTCACATTAAAAGTAGCAGTTGTCGTCTAGTGCTGTCAGTGCAGCAGTAGTTTGAAGTCAAACGTCAAGGGTATGGCAGTTACGTCCCAACCGAGAGGGCCTTTGCTGTATGGAAATGCATGAAGATAGGGATGAGCAGATGTTGGATCGGACGCAAGGGTGAATCAATGAAGCCAGATCCTCACAGCGATGGCGCACTCAGGACACGACCTACTATCCTTGCAGCTTCCGCCGCTGGCAAGTCGACCTGAGCCAGTACTTCTTCGAACATTGGCCTCGCACTCAAGAAGTTCCAGAGCACCATCGGAGCGATTGCAGCGAGAATGACGGGGACATGATGGGAGTCCCTCGTGGGGTTGAAACGTGGCAGTGGTGTAGTGGTGCCTGACACAACTATTGTGTCCCATGATATTTCAGTTCATCGTAGAGTGAGCATCAGCTCGCCAGCGCAGCTTCCGTGGTCTAAGGAGCTCGGAATGGACAGCTGCGCCGGAGTGTTACATCGAGGATTTGCAGCTTCGTCTCGCGTTTGATACATTAGCCGGAAGACTGTGCTCACAAACCACGCTCGACTGTTAGATCAGAGGCATGTGATGCTCTCTCCTCTTGCACCAGGGTCGATCAACCTTGCTGCTGTAGAGTGTCTCTTCTGGGTATGGGTCTTTGCGGCTTTTCCATACCGGATCGTGCCGGGTGGTATTGTAGTTGAACAGCGTAAAATCCAGAGCACTGAACACCCATCAGCCTCAATCCCCATGACAAAATGCGGCCACAACGTTGATATTGGTAGCAGCAGTACCAGAGTAGTAGAAAGAATGCCAGCAGTTCCGATAAACAAACCAAGAGAACCCAACTAGCTTTCGCAATATTCCTCATAATCGCAGCATGATGGCAGCACTTTCGCGCAGGAGCGAAGAAGGTCCCATTGCACCATCACAGGCCCCCCCCGCTGTAATGTGCACGGATGGATGTCGGTGCAAGCCTGCTGCACTGACTTGTAGAGTTGCTGGAATCGCTGTGCGCTTCTCCCAGGCATAATTAGAACTCAGTGCCATTCGGTCTACTGCTTCCTGCAATTCATCTGCACGTTGAATGCCGTTGTGTTGTTGTGAGGCTTGGAAAGCAACGCTCGGTACTATGTGCGAGTCAGAGAGGTCTGCGAGGCTGGCCACAGAGTGCAACACGACATGCGACGCCAACTCATTCTATGCCCCGATAGCCGTGCGGCTGATGTTGTGACACAACATCCTACCATCATGATGTTATGATCTTGAGCTCGGCGGCTCTGGGCAGTTCATGCCCGTCTCGAGACCTCTCGTGCTTTCTTGGCGCCGGTGCAGGATGACGCCCTCAACGGAGACTACCTGCAGCACCCTGGGCTGGTGCAGGCACGGCCCGAAAACCTTACATGAAAGGGGAAGCCCGAGGACTCGTTCCAGGGTCCATAGGAGACCTTGCCATGAGTCAAGTACAGACGAATGGTTCAAGTTCTCAAGAGCTCAGCCTGTTGCTGCTACCATTCCTATAGTCGCGTGAGAAGGGGATGTAGAATCGCAATCCTGGAGTCCGTGCTACATGTGTCAGATCTAAATCTGCAAACCTCGACCTTTACACTCAAAAGCCTGACTGACAACACCACACCTGCTCCACTCCAGGTGAATCCCTTGCCGGCTGGTGCAGCGCGCCTCTCAAAAACCATCAGTGTCGTAGCTGTGGGCACGATGTCGAAGGTTGCGGAGCTCATCCCGCTGTTTTACGCAAAGAGCCCACGGGCAGCAGAAGGAAACCGAACCACTCGTATCAGCAGGATGAGCAATAGCAAGACCAGTAGTCATGACAGTGGTATCAGCAGTAGCACTAAGGATAGTAGCAATCTGCGTAGCAATTGGAATGATGCTGATCCCAGCCAACAGTAAGCATATGTACTACAGAAGCTAAGCGTATTTGTAAAGACCAGAATGAATCATCATGGCAACAGTACTGACCGGGTAGAGTTATCAGTTAGCAATAATGATGGCAGCGGGGCGATACTAATGTTGGTGATTCTGGCCCCTTCTAAACAGACTGACATGCAGTATGCAGCAGATGGAACTTACAACAACAGATTTCAGGCAACAGTCGTTGACTGCTTATGTGCAAGTACTGTATTCGCCAAGTTCAAACAACCATTAAAAACTGAAATAAACAACTGTATCGTCAGGTGACCGATGTCATCGAGGCTCATCGGGACATCTACTGGATCAATGCTCGCGCCTGATTGCTGGGGAGAGTGCTCTCAGTTTCACGGTACCCGGTACCCTAAACATCCCTAAACCCTAAGGCCCTAAGACCCCAAACCCCACCCCCAAGGCCAGCGCCCCAAAACCCCAAAGCCCGAAATCCACCTCTTTGCTTCCAGACCGAGATGCCCCCCTCGCTTCGAGAAGTGAGGTGACCTGGACCGCCGGACTACCCAACGACTGTGTCTTCGTTGCCTGGCAGATCGAAGCGGTGGCGGGTGCAGCTCCCGGCAGGGCAGAGGGCCGCGGATTTAGGTTTTAGGATTTCAGACTCAAGGGCTTGCAGCACAAGGAAGACCTCGGTGACTCAGGGCCTAGGTGCAGCCCTATGAGTTCCTGTTCTTGCGAGCCTGGTACATGATAGTATCCCTTGCAGTAGGGTGTTTATATCTGGTACAGCCATAAGCAGACCCCAAGCAGACACCAATGTGCTTGAAGCGCCCTGTATGCACTCACTATTGACCGGAGCTCTACCACTCGTACTTCAAGCCCTACCTTACCTGCATGATGCTGCATCCTTGTTCGACAATCTCTTGGAAAGCTGCTGATGTTTGCACCTACGTCAGACCAAGTCGGTTTTGATGCCTACAGTCTGCACAGGTGGTGAGACCCGCGCTTTCACCACAGTCGGACAGCCGCGATTGCCGGCGTACCTCAACATGTGCAAGCCTTGGAATTGGAAGAGTCATCCTCTAGTACAAGAAGATAGCCTGCGACAAGTTGTTCTTGTCTATTCCGTCCCGCTAGTGTCATGCTGTACCTTCTACCCAAATATCATGAGCCATCATATTGCAGTGCATCGTAGGTTTTGTCGTGTTAGCATCCATCACTCTATCGGTCTGCATCGGTTGGCCTACCCTGCCTATCGTCCTCACCCTGCCCTCCTCTCCTACCCTGTTCTTGCGAGCTTTGCCCAGGACCGGATTGACAGACGGCACCGTGTTCCAGGCTGCGCATGCTCGGGATTTTCAGGTTCAAATCAGGCTGCAGGAAGGGAGTTATGATGAACAAGGTTTGAGATCGAAGGGAGAGTGCCGGCTCTCAACTCGTACTCCATATGTGGCTTGAAGCTGCGGAACTCTGGCCTAGGTCAAGTGAGCGTGTCAAGATGTGCAGATGACGCAGAACCTGTCTGGAGGTTTCACGGTTTAGGGGTTTAGGGTTTAGGGAACCCCAAACCCCAAACCCTAAACCCTAAACCCTAAACCCTAAAAGCTAAACCCTCAGCCGCTTCAAGCACTTGACATGAGCCCTGAAGCGACACCCCATGCCCGCCAGATCTTCGTAACGGAAGTGCCGGGCTCCAAGATGCCGGGGAGGTTTCGGGGAGTTTTGAAGCCTCATGCTTGGGATTTGCTCATGGCCCGGGGTGCAGAAGCCTTGGGTCGAGTGTTGTTGGGCCTGGAGTCCCAGGAGGCATGGGAAGCTGAGTTGGAGAGACGGCTAGGAGTCTGGAAGGGTGTGGAAGACATGGGACCCCCACCTGCCCACTCAACAAGGTCAGAGATATCTTAGGGTCAGACGGAAAGCAGGAAGAAGGAAGAAGGACCCCAGAAAAGAGCAACACTCCACGAAGTTGCCTCGCAAACCTTGCCTAAAAATCGCTTCTCGGTGCTTGGAGCTCCGGGCTGCTCCGCTGCTACCGAGGTGTGAAAATCCCCTGGCCAACAGCGCAGCAGCAGCCCAAGTCCGATCTGGACTGGACCCAGAGAACCCAATACCCCTTAATTAAGGAATAGACCTTAAATCATAATATTAAGGCCCCTATGATTTAAGGTATATTCCTTAATTAAGGGGTATTGGGTTCTCTGAGTTCGTGGCAGTGCTTTTTTGACTTTGGGTTCAGGGCCTGATCGAGTCTACGAGGATGCTTTCTATCGGGCGGCCGAGAGCTAGAAGTCAGATGCAAGGCCTCGATTTGCAAGGACTCTCAGCATTCGCCTTTACGTTTCAGGAGCTGAGGCCCAACGCTGCATGAAACGTTCAGCGCAGACTTCGCCGGGTGCTGCTGACGCCGCGCAAACTTCCTCCGCCATCGAAGGATTGAAACACAAGCCGCGCCCTAAAGCCTTGAACCCTGAATCCTTCAAGGCCCGAGCCTCTGAACGGCAAAGCTTCAAGCCCGAATCGTACCTTTCTGTCCCAGGCCGTGGAAGCGCTTGTCTCCTCCCGGCCGAACCCAGCACAGGTCAGCACGAAAGCAGGGGGGCACCGAGCAATTTTGGCTTAGGGGGCTCTGGGAGGATGTCGGAAGGAAAAGGGCACATCGCGTGAAGCTTCGAAGTTTTGGAGCCGCATGCCTGGGAGCCTCACCGCGGCTACGTGACGAGGACCCACAGCAGCCCACAGTCACGGCGGCCAGAGCCCAAGAGGGGAGTGAAGTTGCGAGCCTCTCCTTACCGTTCGGGCGCTTCCGCTGCTTGCAGTTCGTTGTGGTGCGTGCCTGGGGGCTCTCTCGGAACTTCTGCTGAATGCACCCGTCTGACGCGATGCTTCAAGCCGTGCACCGGCCTCCAGACAAAGTCCCTCCGGCGCTTAAGGCGGATCCTTGTGCTTCCAAACCCTTTTTGGCCCCTTCGCCCAAGGCAGGACCCTACTGGCTCAATGTGGAGTGGTCTGCTGGCCAGTGGTCGCCTCAACCGTGCATGTAAAGGGTATCTTGGCAGCTGAAAGCATGAGAAGATGACCGTCGAAGCATGGCATGATCTCTCCTCTTGATCTTAATTATTCTTGAGTGCTTCGAGCCACAAGCCCCCGAAGTTAAGCCCAAACTCTTCCACCGTGAGGCCCGGGACCTGCAGCTTCCTCTCCTGGGACGTGACCGTTCGGAAGACAGGCACCGGGAGAAAGGGCGGCTCGGTTCGGGACCGAAGGATGGCCTCGGCCTAGGGTCTGCTTGCGGGATAAGGACCCTTTAGGGTTTAGGGTTTAGGGCTTTAGGGTTTAGGGTTTTAGGGTTTAGGGTTTAGGGATGAGAGGCTAATGCTGTAACAGAAGAGACGAATAATAAGGTAAGATCAGGGAAGATGAGGTAAGACAAGCCGCAGGCACTGAGCAGTTCGACAGCGTGGCCGTCTGCAGTGAGCCTCCGACTTGGCATCTCCGGGCGAAGTGCAGACCTGCTCGACATCGAAGGGATTGGGAGAGTCATGCCACGAGTACCAGTCAGGTTTGGATGCAGTCTTGACAACAACTCGGATGGAGAACTCACCAAGGACTGCCGAAAGCACCACCAGCTGCAACATCACAGAGAGCTATTCCTGTTTTCAAGACCGGAAGTACAGCGGATTCTATGATGTCTTCCCGACATGTGCTCTTTGGTTCCGAGCCCTTATTTCAGCTCGTCGGCGTCGTCTTTGCGATCGCTTGTCCCGGCTACTGAGAGCCGATGCACCTGTGGGGGGGTGAACCATGTGGTGGGGAGCGATCCTGGGAGTCTGGGAGCATCATTTTCTGCTTTTCTGAGTCTGCACTCCGTGACTTCTGCTGTGTCAGGTGTTACTTTTCCCTAGATTGCATCATGAAATGATGGAATCATGGAGAGTCTGGCAACCATGCCACTTGTGTCATCTGCATGTTCGCAGTGGTTCTTTGGAGATTTTGGAGTGACCTGCGATAGCAGAAGAGCTGTGTCTTCAAGTATGCCTGTTTTCCAAATCTGCGTACGCCGCCTTTGAAGCCAGGTCTGCATTCCTGGGGTGGCATGCCCAATCACTGATGTGCAAAGTGCCAGGACCTCGACCTCCCTTCCGGGGTGCTGCTAAGGTTTGGAGCTATGTGCCATACCTGATGAAGTTTAATTAAAAAGTCCCATCTAGCTTGTGGCACGACAAACGGCATCGTCATTCCAGAAGTTCACGCAACACTCTACACCAACCCGGAAAAAGCTGGGACCCACAAACATTCTTCACCAATGAGGGCAGAGTCGTCAAGTCTCCGGTTGCGTTGACTGCGATTTCAAGCACGCGTCTCTCCATACACAATCATGCTCTCAGTGCCACTGGTCATAGTGATAAGGATGATAATTAGTAACAACACTGCAATGATGTTATTGATTCTACGACAAACTATAGATAATACAGGCACCGAAACATTCATAATCACACCAACACGAAGATTGATATCACAGGTACCAAATTAATGTTTAGATTAGTAGCAACAATCGTAGTCGTCATGCTCGCTATCGTAGCGGCTATACCATTGGCAGTAACACTGCTGCTGCTGCTGCTTCTTCAACTGCTGATGGTGCATCCTCTGCCTCCTGCTCATCCTCCTTCTCATCCTCATCCTTATCATCCTCATCATCCTCACCCTCAGCAATCACCATCTTCCTCAGAAGCTTGCTACAGTACGGGCTTGTCCGGTGCGTAGCTCTCAGGCCACAGACTGCAAGCTCCTCTGCAGCTACGAGCCGGCCTGCCGTGCACTGCGCTTTCAGGCAAGCCTGGTGGGGCCGAAAGCTTTCGGGTTTAGGAGATTTGGGATTCAGGCTTCTTCTTGTTTTGGGTTTAGGGTTCAGGGTTTAGGGTATTCAGGGGTTTTAGGGCTTGGGCGGAGGGCTTATGCACATGGCCTGTGGATTTGTGTCGCCCGCATATCGCAGGCAGCGTATGGCCATTGCTGGCTCATCGACAGCAGCTACAATCCGCTGGAGGACAATCCTATCTACCAGACGACAGGCACGGTTTAGGGTTTAGGGTTTAGGGTTTAGGGTTTTGCTTCTAAGGGGTACTGTCGGTAAGGGGTACTATACGAGGTACTAGAAGGGCCATTATCAGGGATGCTGTAAGGGATGGAACAGGGGAGTCTACGAGAGCTGTCTGGTGATGTTGGTTTTGTTGATGGCCGAAACCCGAGACCCCCTAAGCCCCAATCCGTCAAGGCAGAAGCCCTGAACCCCGCACTCTGCAAGCCCGGGCCCAACCCTAAACCCTAAACCCTAAACCCCAAACCCCAAACCACCTACACCACCCTTGCAAGGCTGTGCACGGAATTTGGGACTCGCCAGTCTCACGGGCTACGAGGTGCAGGTGCGCTGGCAAAGCAGTCAAGATGGGGGTTTCCCAAAAGAGGGGACCCTAATATAGCACCCTAAATAGTAGGATCCTTATTATAAGGACCCCAAAATAAGGTACCCCTTAATTTCGGAAACCCCCAGATGGCGAGGGCTTGAGAGCCTTAAGGCTTCAGGATTTAGGGTTTGGGTCAGGGCTCCTCAGGGGCTCTCCTTTAAGGGCTCCTAGAAGGCTCCCTGTGAGGGTTCCTACAAGGCGTAAGGGCTTAAGGGCTTAAGGGCACCAAGGCTTCAGACTTCAAGGGTGTAAGGGCTTAAGGGTTCGTAGGCACGGAAGGTGAGTGGCTTGAAGGCTAGACTAAGGGGTTTCGGGGTTCCGGGGTTTACAAAAGCAAGGGGCGGCAGTATTCTGTCAAGCCTACAGCCTACAGCCGGGTGTTCTGAAACTGTACATTCAAATCTCATCTCAGGTAGGAGCACAAAAGCTCTGCCTCTTAGGGCTTCTGCATCTGCGTCTTGACAAGGTTGCTCATCGCTGCACCGATCCTGAGGCAGACAGCAGCCGGTATGCTCAGACCCGTTTGGAAGTTACCAGGGCCTTTACACAGGTTCGGGGTTGCAGTCGGAATCTGGAAGCACCCAGCATCTCCGTCGGCAGTCACCTCGCCAGAGTTCAGATTCATGAGTGATCCTTCCAGCGCTGGGTTTTCCCGTCGAGGAAAACCCCACAGCGCAGAGCCAAGACTAAGCCGCCTTGGAGCCCCTAAATGTGCATCCTGCCAATGCTTCAACCCCCAAATCATGCGCTGCAACATAACTGCTCACAGCCCTAAGCCTTTAACTCCAAAACCCAAGTCTTTCATTTACAGCCGCGAAGTCTCAGCCCACCCCACACCTCCCTGAAACCCTGGACATCTTCAAGCTCTGAAGCCGCGAACCCACTACCCACCACATCGTTCGAGAGCGCAGACACCAGCCATAAGCCCAAAGCCCTAAACCCAAAAACCCACCACGTCCCGTTACAAAAATGAACCATCCTGTAAGTAAAAAGCTGGAAACCCATTAACCCGAAAGCATCTGCAAACCCCAAAACCACCGAAAGCATCTGCAAACCCCAAAACCACCGAAAGCATCTGCAAACCCCAAAACCACCGAAAGCATCTGCAAATCCCTAAACCCTAAACCCTAAACCGAAAGCATCTGCAAATCCCCTCCCCGAACTGCAGAGTTCAGGTCCTGCCATCGTAGAGCCGGGCTTAGCGTCGGGGAGCTCAGGGCTGCTGAAGTTGAGAGATGAAAGACTATATATATATATATATATACACGTGTGTGTGTATATATATATATACATACACACACACACACCATTTCGATATATATATATATATACATATAAATAAATGAATAAATAAATAAATATATGGATGCCATACGATACTAAATTCTATGAATATAAATCAATAACTCTCTCTCTCTCTCTGTATATAAACATAGTGCGGTACCAGAATAGTGCCATGTCGTATTTTATACTATACGATGAGACTTCACAGGGTTGGGGGTTTAGAGCTTTTGGGTTCCGGGAAATGGAGGTTGCAACTTGGGGGTCTATGTAATGGGGAGCTTACTATTCCAAGAAGAGTTTTGCAGTATAATCAATAATCCTAATGGGCAGCAAGCTGATGGTGGTGATGATGCATTTTTCCCGTCGATACTACAGGGTGGAGATTAGGGAGACAAGGGCTCAGATTTCGGGTTTGGGGATATTGTGTTATAGGCTTCTGGGTTTAAGGCTGCTGGCTTTCGTTTCCTGGTCGGATCAGGCCCAATCACACCACTGTCGGGCACGCGACGCAGCCGGAGGCCAGCAGAACCGGTTTTAGAGGGTAGTCAGAAAAGAGCCATGATGCAGAATGACGGTAAGTACTTCCGCCACTTGCTCAACGGTGAGTTTGCTGCATAGTCTTGCCTCCAAGCTCCTGGGCAGGATGTCGAAGAGCGTGCGGTGCATGGCCGCACTATCAGGAGCCACGGTTGGCGCTCTTTAAAGTCCCAAGCCTTGGCCCTAAGCGCGAGGATCCGGAGGTTTTTGTAAGATTTTGAGCCTTCCCCTTTCGTAGGTTGCCTGCGCAGTCCTTGCTTTGTCCTGAAGGATTCACTTCGTCCCTGGAGTTCTGCGAGACTACATGCCGGCCTGGGGCCCTGAATTCCGTAGGCTTCGCCACTTCTCAGAGCTGAAAGTCCTGAATTGGGCCCGAGATGCCGATAAAACCCTCTTCCAAAATCCCTTTAATGAAGGAGTATACCTGAAAACCGTAGTAGGGCTCCGAAACCCTAAACCCTAAACCCTAAACCCTAAACCCTGAACCCTAAACCCTCCTACTATAATCATGGGTTAGAGGATCTCGGAAGAGCTGGGGGGACAGACCCTAAGGCCCTACAGTTCTTCAAGCCTGAACGCCCGACGTGTGGGTTTCGGGTTCAGGGTGTAGGGGTTTAGGGGTTTAGGGGTTTAGGGTTTAGGGTTTCAAACTGCTCCAGGACTCAGGGCTCCAAAACATTGAAGCCCCACTCAATCAACACCACATAATAAAATCGAGTATACGAAAAGATACAACAATCTAATATACGAAAACCTAGTGTACTATGATATCATATAAGCAGTGTGCGAAAACATAGTAACAATAAGATGATGTACTACCGTTGATGGACAAAATTCTGCATGA